TTGCTAAAACATCCTCTCCTATTGTTGGGCTCTATGAATTTTTGGCGATTTCTCCAGTTAAATCCTCCGAATGTTCCTCTAACTTTTAGAAATTAGTCTTCAACGTCTCTCTTTTTTAGTGAAGTGGAAATATCGCTGCAAGGAAATACCTATTCTGAGGTTGTAGGCTCTTACTCAACCAGAATCTCAACAGAAAAGAAGATTATTTTACTTGGAAAGGGAACGGCAAGGCTCCTCCCCCTCCCCTTCACCTGGCTTGATGATAACGTGCCGTGGAAAAACTAATCTTTTTGGTGATTTTGATTTTATGGCTTTCCTTTCTCTACTATTTCAGTCTTAATACAAGTCATACTGGCATTATCAACAGTAAGCAGGTATTCATATTTGCAGAAAAATATTCGAAAATATATCGATTTCCCTCCTCTGTTTCAGAATCTCAATTCTGGTGAAATTGATGCAGTTTTCGAGAATTTTCAAGAAAATGGCACTTGGCAATCATTCGAGAAACAAGATTTGCTCGGTGATGCTCTGTTCAGGGTAAGTTAAGTTTTCGAACACAAAGACTTGAACTCATGATCAGAAATATCATCTTTGAAAAGATGCATTTTCGTAGAATGAAAATGAAGGATCCAGGACTAAATGTAACTCAAGTCATTCTGCATAGTGTGTTTAATTTTGACTTTTTGAATCTTCTCAGTTAGATTCGTTCATTTTTGCTGCTTTTCTATCCAATCAATTCCTTTCCACCTAAATTTTAACAGTTTTAATTTAGGTACAAAATCTCCTCGAGTTTTTGCCTTCGCTAGGCATCTTTAAGAGAAAATCAGTACAACTCTGATATTTTGCCTGTCAAGTTCTTAAAAATGTTAACTTTTTTTGTAGGTGATTGCTGTAGATGCAGACACAGATGAAAATGCACGCCTTTCCTATTCTCTGCAGAGTGGTAAGAATAAAGGGAAATTCACCATTGATCCAGATACAGGAACTGTTTATTCTGACGTATCGCTGGCACCAAACGATGGATTTTATCTGATGGTATATACTCACAAAATCTCTTAATCGAATACTTTTTAATTCTTTTCCAACTCCTGGTTTTGTAATTTTTTTCTTTTTATTCTTCAGTTGTGAAACTTTCAGTTGCTATAGGAATTGCCAATGATATTAGTAGGTATACCTAGATTTTTTTACAGTAGAAATAATCGGTTTTTTACTTTACCCACCAAAAATGTTTTTCATTCTACTTAAATCCATAATTGGACGTATTTCTGCCAAATGGAACTATGTGCACTACGACGTGAGCCCTGTTATGCATATATTTTTATGGGTCTCAAGGCTCATGTCTGAATGCACGTAGTTCTGTTTGACAGAAATACGTCCAATTTTATCAAAAGCGGAGTTACGATCTGTATGAAAGATCTAAAAATGGATGATCCAAAAAAAAGTGAGTTTAGGCAGGTACGTAATGTTTTCTACCNCCCCCCCCCCCCCCCCACTAGTTTTCACTCAACTCTTTTTCGAACACATTTTAATTATGAATTAGACAAGCTATTTCCTGATTTTCTTCAGCTAAAGTAAAGCATAAGTCTTCACATTTTGTTCAAAAATTTCCATTGTTCATCCCCTTTTACACTCTCATTTCAAACAATCTCTCTCTCTCTCTAATTTGTGAAACAATTTATTGTTTATGATCTTTAAGGTTCGGGCCTCTGATCAAGGCTCACCGAACAAGAGTGCCACAACCCGAGTGTCCGTCCAAGTTGTTGCCATACCTGACGAATCAGAGCATCCGCCCACTTTGCACGATCCCATCTTAGAAGTCCAAGTAACCGAAAATGATCCAGTCGGCTTTCTCGTCGCTATAATTCAAGCATCTGATGAGGACCAAGACTTTTTGTGGTATCAAATCATCGGTAAGAATATTAATGAGAATAGTTGCTTCATAGCAATTTAATCTCCTCAAAACTAACCTGTAATTTTTGTAAGAATGGAGCTTCTTATCAATGGAGAAAATAAGTTATTCAGGCCAAGTCTAGTATAATTACATTAATTATTTTTTTTGGTTCTATTTGTTTCTTCCTTTCACTCGCAAAGGAATGATTCATTTTCACTCTCGGTCTTCCATTTTATTTTGATTTCCAATTTTTATGCACCTAAGCACAGCCCATGTCGTCAGTCAACAAGTGTTTTCTCTGGATGATACAGAGTGATTATTTTTCTCTTTATTTTTGTCCACTTAAAGTCTATCATGCCCATAAAGAGAGGACGGTAATGCCAAATATTCTTTCATCTGTTTGCGTATATATAAAATTATTAAACGTTAGTTATTATTGTGTACCAAGTGAGAAGTTCTCCTCCTCCTTTTTTTTCAAAAAATTAAATTTTTTGACTCTGGAACTGTTCATTGGAGCTTAAATAGTAAAAGGTGCCGACTTTTACCTTCTGAAATTCTTCCTAAAATTCCTAATATTTGACCTCTGCACGAAAAGCTTATAACTGATTTTCCCTCTCACATAAATTTATCGGTTTTCTTTTGTCAGATGGTGACCCCGAGTCAAATTTCATGATCAGCAGAGATAAAGGAACTGTGATACTAGCTAAGAAATTGGATTGGGAAACAACAAATAAATACAAGCTGAATATTAGTGTAAGCGATGGAGTTCACACAGTCTACTCACAGGTAATGTATCTACTTGAGCTATCTTTTTCTTGAATTTTACTCTCGACATGTCTATCTTTATCATTAATTATTTCAACCCTTTAAGATCTCTAAAATTGCCTTTTTTAAAGTTTTTCTCTTTTTCTTAATTGCTTGTTCATTAATGTGAAATCTTGGGTATTTTCAGCTGATCGTCAGTGTTGTGGATATTAACGAACATCCTCCAATATTTTCTCAATCAGTCTACAAAACAAACATCTCAGAAAGAAGCTCCATCGGATCTGAAGTTCTGAGGGTTGAAGCTACGGATTTAGATGCAGAGAACAAAGTACTGTATAGTCTTCATGCTGCCAGGAATCCCACATCGCTGCATTTGTTCAAAATAAACTATCAAACTGGCGCTATCACCATCAGTCATGATTTGGATTGGTAATACCTCATTCTTTTCATTATTTATGAGAAAAAATTAATGTGCAATTGTTCCCTTCTTAAATAATTTGTCCTCAATTTCTCTCTTTTTTACCTATGATTTGGATTCTAAGCTTGTTTTTGAACTGACTGCGAATGAATATTTCTTAAAAGAAAAAATATATATTTAGTACCAACTATACTTAAGTATGCCTTTTGCAGATGAAAATTTTCGTGAGTCCATCCCATAAATATCATATATATTGCAAAAAAGGATCCTAAATTACAATTTTCAAACCATTTTTCAGGGAGGGTATCTCAGAGCACTTGTTAATCGTCATGGCCAGAGACTACGGAACACCCGCTAAGAAGAATTTTGCAACTGTGATAATCAATGTTTATGATGCAAATGACCATGCGCCAGAATTCAGTTCAGCCAGCTCGATTCAACAAGGCCAGGTGTTTGAAACTGCTAGTATTGGTACAATTGTCGCCCAGGTTGTCGCAACGGATAAAGACCATGGAGTTAATGCAGCCATCACATTCTCTATTACTTCAGGTATTTCTTTACTTCACTTTAAATGCCAGGAAAATTAATAAAGAGGAAAAATATCTTTATATGCCATGGGATTGCTTCTTACCAAGATCCTGAGAAGGGTAGTTTTGACTGTGACTTAGATGTTACCAATTCATCTGATGATTCAACTTAGGCATTACATGTGTAACTCCGTTTCCTATCGTAAATAGCTGCAGAGCTCCGTTTGTTAGAAGATACTCCTTGTATTCAAGTAATATTGTCAGATAAATTCGGAGATTTATTTTTCGTCTCAAAATAAATCTTGGACATTGTTCCAGTAATAGCCAGGGTGTCAACATGTAGAGTTCAAAAATATAAAATTCAGAGAATGTTGAGGAAAGATGTTACGAAAAAAATATCAGGGAAACAAGAAATTTGCCTCAGATTTACACTGAAAGAACCGGAATTTTCCCCCCTTTTGTTGATCCTTTCTCTGTCCTGAAATTGTTTACAACTGCTGGAACAAATGTTTCATATCCATTATATTAAAGAGGGAGAACTGGTGGTCAATCTTAGGAGAAATAAAATTAAGGGAACTGTTTTGTCCAAATCAGTTGACATCCTGAATGGCATGATCTTTAATCCAAATTGACTTAACTTTGCAGGCAATGTCGCAAACGCTTTCTCAATTGACCCTGTGCTGGGCACAATTCAAGTTGCCAAGGAGTTGGACATGAGTGCTATGTCTGAATATATGCTTATCGTTAAAGCAGTTGATGGCGGAACTCCCCAAATGTCTTCCACACTTCCTGTCTACATCATGCTTGTCATGGCAGACAATGCGCCTCCTAAGTAAGTGAATTTTTTATCATCTCTCTATGAAGATTTGTGAAATTTTAAAAAAAAACGCAATTGAGAAACTACACACTCTCAAAAAAAGGGCTAATATACCTCCATCATAAAAAGGATGTTGAAAGTTTTCATTTTCTCTTTCAAAGTTTTCTACCGCATCCAGTGTTTTTGTACTTCTACCTTGGAGACTTCTACTTCTGCCTCAGCCACATTATCTTATCTGATGTTCTGCTTCCTCGTTTAGATTCCTCAAGCGGGAAGTTGCTGCCGAGCTGTACGAAAATGAACCTGCAGGCACCATCGTAACACAACTGGAGGTTAGGAGTGTCTCCCTCCTCCAATATGAAATCCTGACAGGCAACATGGATGATATGTTCACCGTAAATCCGACCATGGGAATAGTCACCACCAAGCGACCACTGGATTATGAGCAAAACAAAGTTTACAACCTCACCATCAGTGCTACAAATATGGTTTGCATACACTTTGTTTCATCAAATTGACTAAGTGTGTCACTTCAGATCAACTTTGTCTCCTCCAGTGAATCTTAAGTCTGTCACTCGGTTAAAAAAATTGCCCGCCGTTTATCATTTCAGTTCTTGGCACCTAATCCAGAGAAAATGAACATGCCTGAAAAAATCTATGTTTTTCGCAAATTACATAAACTAAAAACCACCACTGATATAATTTCTCCATAGGATTGAATTCTGGAGAAACTAGAAAGTGTCAGCGGAAAAAATTTCATTTGATGTGAAAAGACTGAGAATTCTTTATATTATGTATCATATATTACCGAATATTCTCCTTCTCATAATCTCTAGAGTTTTCTCAACTGCTGGGATAAAAGTTTTGGAAAAACGTAACTTTCATCAGGAGCTCAATTTTGAAATTAAGAGCAGATATTCTGCAAGTTGTTAGATTCTTGTTCGAAAAACTCTTAGACATTTTTATGTATTTTTTTATCAAATCTGTGGACCCTCTGGTAATATTTACCATATTTTTTTCTATGTTTTCTTCTTTCATGGTCACTCCAGTTTCATAAAAAGTGGATCAGTTCTTTTATCAGTTCATCTCATTGTATTATTCATTTGTCAATAGGCTGGAGCAAAAGCTGTATGCTCAGTTGTCGTGCACGTTCTTGATAAGAATGACCATGCGCCGACATTCACGAAATCTGTTTACTACGGTTTTGTAAACGAAGGCACTCCTATCGGCTCGCTTGTCCTCAGCAATTCGAGCAACCTGCCTTTGATCATCTCAGCAACTGATAACGACGCTGAGACCAATGCCTTACTTCACTATGATATTGTCGAATCAGGACCCAAAAGAATCTTTCACATTGTTCCAAGTACTGGTAAGTTCCTTTTCCTTCTCTGTTGTTTTTTTTTTTACAAAAGCAAAAGATTTCTTGTCGTTTTATCTTCTCTCCTGTCTAGAAAAACTAAGAAAGTTAAGCACAAGGAAGGCAACACGATGAAGAACAAACCGTTTTGCGTAATAAAGTAAAAATACTGTAATTTTCGTAAAAATCCTAGCCCGAGAGTTCTGCTTTAAAGATATGTAATGAAAATGAATGCCAAAATTTTGGCTCCCTGGTCTGTCAGCCTCTCTCGAGTAACTTTAAGATATGCACCTTGAAATTTTTCAATCCATCGAAAATCATTCGTCGTGCCCAATTTTTCCGCCCTCCAAATATCGTTTTATTTTCCTGTCTGGTCTTTTTTGAAATGGCTGATTCGATTAATAAGCGTATTGTCCTCTTAAAATCACAAACAGAGACTTCATACCAAAACTTTGAGAAAAATAGAGATTCACTTTGCTGTTACATTCCGAAAACTTCCTTGATATGTGGTTTGAATCAGAGAAAAGTTTTGATAAAACCCTACCTGATTTTATTTTTTCTTCCGCAGGTGCAGTACGGACAGTTGTCATGTTAGACTACGAAACTACCCCATCAGTAGAATTTCACGTTTTGGTCAGTGACCTTGGAAAGCCGCAACTTTCCTCAGACATTTTAGCACTGGTACATATTGATGTAGTAGATGTGAATGACTGTCCCCCTGTTTTCATGCAGCCTTATTACAATGCAACTATCCTCTTACCAACGTATCCAAATATCGTCGTGGCTCAGGTAATTATATTTCCTAGTTGATAACTTCTTAAGTATTTTTTTATCTTCTGAATAAATTTTACGGCCCTGTCATTAGCTCTTGCTGCTTTGGTTGTAAAAAATATTCCCAAGCCATGCATTATGGAGGTGAGAAATGTATCCTGAAAGAAACCTGTTGTTTCAGTGACTTGTTCTATCTTTGAATTTTTACTTGGGACCTTGTAAGTATACCAAAGAGAAAAGCTTAAGTTTGTAAGTACACGTTTAGGGTTCATTTTGCCTTTTGGTTATAAATTACTGTACTCATGTTGTGTATTTGAATGAGCGTTCACATCCAAACCTAAAGATTTCTGGTTGTTAATCAACAAGGATAGTCAAATCGGTATCAGACCTTTACATGATGGGAGCTTTGAAAGGAGGGGGAAAATTTCATCAAAAAATCCTAGATAATTTCATGGAGGAAGCTGAATTTTATATCAAAATTTATATAATCTTTATGAGTTTTGGAACAAAAATCTCAGATAATTGCAACCTTGCCAAGCAAAACCAAGAACTTTAGAATGAGTCAGGAAATTGTCTTCTCCTGCAATCTCTCTATTTCTTCCCTATTTCTCGAGTGGATACATGTATGTTGTTCAAAATACAATCTTTCTACTTTTGTTTGGTTGTTCCTTCAGGTTAATGCAACGGACAAAGATTCGGCCAATCTGACTAAATTGGTTTATTCGATCACAAATGGAAATGCTGGAAACATATACTCAATATCATCCAGCACTGGCGTAATAACATTGAAAGACCCTGCTAAAGGCCAATCTACAAGTCCGCATGCTCTCAAAGTCTCGGTTACCGATGGGCGCTTTACAACTGATGTGTAAGTAAAGTTTATTTTTTAATTGTATTTTTTCTAAGTTCACCATTTCACATTCTGCTTATTACTTGGTATCTTTTTGTTCTTAATTCGGTCAAAACTCTTGAAATTTGACCATCTAGTTTATTGATATGTCTGATCTCCTGGTTTTTATATCATTATTTTTATTCTTTGCACATAGGATGGTGTACATAAGTTGGGAGAAGAGTGAAAATTCCGGTCTAATCTTCCAAAAATCATTATACCAAGGAGTTGTCCAGGAGAATAATACTAAAGTCATGACTGTTGCTGTGGTCAATGTTCTTGGTAGTGAACTGAACGAGCATCTAGTTTTCTCCATTTTGAACCCTTCCCCGATGTTCGAAATTGGCCGAACCTCTGGCGCTATACGAACAACTGGTGTGAAGTTTGACAGGGAGGCTCAGGAATATCAACTAATCATTGTTCAGGTACTGAATGAAAAAGGTAGAATTTTAGTAATTAATAAACCGTAGCATAATTCTATGTAATCTGAGGAACACGAGAAATTCAAATAAGTGAGTGATCATGAATTTGATCACCTACTAGTAATGTATTGCCAAATCTCGAAAATCTTAAATTTTCACTTTGTGTGGAGAATATTTCGTATGAATTTTCAAATGAAGTTGTTTGGTTGGTTTTCCTGTACAAAAACGAAAAAGCAATCACAATATTTAAATTCTGAGATCGAGATGCGGTTTTTTATAATTTTATCATAGAACAGTAACATCTTTAAAGTCAGTATCCTTAAAGTCAAATCAAATTAAAAAATGCGGTGTTCTTAGAATGCATATTTTGCTTTTCTATTAGGTTTGTATGACTAAATTTTCATTTGTTTTTGCAGGCCCTTAGCTTTGACGGGGAGAAAACGAAGGTTGCTCATGTACCCGTGAACATAACCGTTCTTGACACGAATGATAACTGTCCAATGTTTGTTAATCTACCATACTATGCAGTTGTCTCTCTAGATGCACGCAAAGGAGAGGTCATCACCAAAGTGAGTGTCCAAATTTGTTCTAACATCAGTGAGATCAATTTTTTAAGTTTTGCCTTTTTAGAATGCCAACATTGATCTGAGTCTCAATGTTAACAAATATTGCTGAGAAAAAAAGAAACTGAAAAGTCAACTTTACTCATAATAATCTTATTATCAAAAATCATGTTAACAATGTATCAAAGAAAACATTTCGAGATGTGCTTATCATAAATTGAAAATATAGAAAAAGAAAAGGAAAGGAAGGGTTTGGCCACAGAACAGCTAGGAGACGGATCATTTAGTTTAGTTCGTTTTTTAAGCTGATCTCGATCGGATTTTTTTTCTCTTTTTCTCTTTTCTTTTTTTTCCATGCTTGAACCCTCCCATTAACAGTTCTTTTTGCTTTAAAAATCCTCTCTAGGTTCATGCCATAGACTTGGATAAAGGTGAAAACGGTGAAGTATGCTATGAGTTAACTAAAGGCCAAGGAGAACTGTTCAAAGTCAGCCGCTTGACAGGTGAAATCGTACTGAAACAAAGCTTAGAAGGGCACAACCGAGAATACCAACTCACTGTTGCTGCTTACGATGGAGGTAATTATATTCATAATAATAATTAATAGAATGCTGTAATGCCATAAGTAAGCAAGTTTTAAACACAGCTAGCAATATATCAATTGACTTGAGATGTGCATCCTCAGAGCTTGAATAAGAAAAATCACAATATTTAAAATTTTTCAAAAATTACATGCGCAGTTTTTTTTTTTTTTTTTTTTTTTTTTTTTTTTTACCGAATGATAAAATCAGATTTTCTGCCCTTATTTTATTTGAATTGCGAGAAACCAAAGATAAAAAGTAAAATTGTGCTCCTTGATTTTCTTTGCAGGCACAACTCCATGTCGGACAGAAGTTGCCGTCATTGTGAAGGTCATCGACAGATCATTACCAGTTTTTGACAAACAGTTTTACGCGGTATCCGTTCCGGAGGACATTGATATCCACACGCCTCTTTCAATCAGCATCAACGCAGAATCAGCTCTGAACCGGAAGCTCATATACAGCATTTCCGGTGGAAACATCAACGAACAGTTCGCCATCGATTTCAACACAGGTGAGTCATTAAATTCATTTTGCCCTAGGTTTTAGTCTTGTAAATGTCGGAACCTTCAGTGTCAGAGAACACAACAGCTGTTTTTCAGCGGTTTGTGATACCTAACTGTTGAAGATCTTATCCTCCATAAGCTCCTAAGTAAGTTCGCATTCCTTCAATTTGCCTTCAGTTCAGTTGAAATTCATGGTCTTATAGATTCAAAGTGGAACATCAGTTAATAAAGCACCCATGCAAAGGATCTCATAATGTCTGTCTTTTTTAAAGATCGTGTCCTAAGTCTGGAGTGTTGCTTCTAAAATTTCGACCGAAAGCATTGCCCCTCGGAAGATGAATCCATCTAAGAATTGTTCAATTCCAACCTCAACAAAAACCATTCTACACAATTCCATCATAAAAGTTCTATGATGATCTTGGTCATAAAGTAGATAATAGGTCTATCCCCCCTCTTTCTAATGCTATTTTCTTCAAGCTTTTATTCGTCTTCTTTTAACTTAACACTTTCAACTTTTACTTCAATAAGTAATCTATTTTCGTCTATTCTCAACTGGGCACACCAAAATAGGAAAGAAAAAAAATTGTGAATGAATACATCAACAAATGTAACGAGGATGAAAATGTTGAAATGTTGTATTATAGTTTGCTTCCTTCTGCTCAAAATTGGTCAATTTTAATCCCTAAATTTTCATGATGACTTTACTTGTTTATGTCTTCTAGTCTATGTTTAACTGAGCTTATGTAATAATATTATTTAACTATTTACCATTCAGTAACATTCTAACAATTTTTAAAAATGAATTAATTTGTCATTTTTTCTGGAGATTTGAAGAAGCAAAAGTGCTCTCACCTAGCTTTCAGTGCAGCGCAGTTTTTTTTTAAAATCATATTTAAACCTTTCATAACTGAATGCAGTCTGCTTCCCAACCATTTTGATTAATACACTTAAAACTGTACAAAAATTAACCTGTTTCAACAGTATCTAAAATTTACAACGTAGGTCCCATGTCACGTTAAAATTTAGGTAATGCTTTTTCCGGTGAATTAAGTTTCTATTTTTGTTTTCCTTTCGCAGCACCCGACAGTAACAATGGGCCTTGTAAGTACTTGAAAATGAATTCAGGGTGATGTTTTGCTTGTTGTGTTGTCAGTTGCTTGTTTTCTTTTGTAATGTATATTGTGGTGTGATCATCTATTTCTGTTCGATTTTTTTTTTTTATCATTTTCATCATTAACTCATTTTTTTAACTTTCACAACCGCTCAGTTGCACAAGTGAAAGACCTATGTTTTGCTGTTTAAAACTTCTGGATCAACAAAACTTTCAAAATCTGCCTAAATGCAACATTTCTGGGTCCACCTTTGATGGAGTTTTTTTGTTTGGCTTTTGTTCAAAATCTATGTACACTTTTTTTACTTTCCCTTGTAACATAATGTACAATGGAGCCTTGCTTGCGATGCCATTGAAATGCATCTTGAAGACATTCAAATAGTGGTGTCAAAGGAATGTTATCAATGGTTTAACATGACCCAACTGCAAGAATTAGGAGAAAATTTCACAAATCAGTGCTCTCCCAAAAGATTTGTGTGTGGGTTGCTGTTTTCTTTTTTTATTATTTACAATTGCACTGTTTTTATAAATTTGTGTTATAGATTAGATGTTTTTTCACTGCACTGCTGAATGATTTTCAATCTGTTGATTAAGAAACTACAGCACATTTGCTGTGTGCATTCTCGATTGTGCTTTCTTAAAGTTCCAAATAAATAAACACTAAAAAAAGCGGTCCCTCCATGCTCCTTGTGTTAGCCGACGCAGCTTGTTATTATGCATTTTAATAAAAAAAAAACATCAGGGTGTCTACAAGACTGGAAAACTTGGAAAATAAGGAAAAGGTAGGCGGGAAAATGTATTGTAAAATGTCTGGAAAAAATGCCAGCGATCTTCATCAAAAAGAATGGAATTATTTCCATTCACTTGATTTGCTTCTATCTGTTGCTTTGCCACAACTTTTGAAGGAATACAATTTTGGAACTAAATCAATACAACAATTGGTGGTTGAATAATCAAAGTATTTTTTTATAAATATCTACTCACTTTATTAAAGCTTTTTCTCCTGAAAATACTAAGTTACTGAGAAAGAAATTGTGTGCTTTAAGATTAATCTTGAAATTAATGCAACAGATTCCTTTTTTCGTTTTACTACACTTATAAATAGTTTAGTTGTGGAAAATCGGAGGTCTGTAGACACCTTGAAAATGTTGAAATGGCTTTAAATTGACTGTCACTGAATGGCTGCCACCTATAGACCTCATACTCCAGGAATAAAATATGCCATACCCGTATATTTTTACCATGTTATGCTCATTGCATCATTGATGTATCCTTAATTCATATTAGGTATTCAAATTCATCTCTTTCTGATGTTTAGTTTGTAATTATCCAACAGATAAACACACACAGTTGTGATTGGAATTTCAGTTCATTGTGGCTCAATAGACTGTTTCTTACAACAGAATTGTAATGAAAAGTGATGGTTCAAAACCTTGAAACTTAAATTATTTTTATTTTTGGTGATGTAACTCTTCTTTTACCTCAAATTCTGAGTTGCCTACCGTCATTAAAGTGTTTATTTCAAGTTTATTTCTCCGAGTTGAAAGTGTTTTCTTTCATTCTCACTAATTCAATTGCTGTTACCATTACAGAACGCTTACATAATATCTAACAATTTAATGAGTTTAAGGTGATTCGTCAAGCTCAAGTGACGTGGTCGAACTGTCATGCGATATATTGCATCGAATAGGTCAAAAATCCCGGTAGATTTTGAATTTTTAGCCAAAAAAAAAAGATAGTAGCTCATATGCAGGGGCTATCGTCCTTTTTTTTGGCTAAGAATTCAAAATCTGCTGAGATTTTTTACCTAATCGATGCGATTTATTGCATGCCAGTTCGACCACGTCACTTGAGCTTGACGAATCACCTTAAACTCATTAAATTGTTAGATATTATGTAAGCGTTCTGTAATGGTAACAGCAATTGAATTAGTGAGAATGAAAGAAAACACTTTCAACTGGGAGAAATAAACTTGTTCAGGAAAGACAAAAATCTGCACAATAAGTGAGGAGTTACCATGAGAAAAAGCTTCGCTTTTCAAGTTTTGCAAAGCTTTTTGTAAGCATTTCGGTGACGAGGACAAACACTTACCTAGGATACGGCCTTTGAAGTGTCTCAAAGATTCTCTTGTCTTTATGGTAACTGTTTCACCTATTGGGCAGTTTTTTGTGTCTCCTGAACATTTTCATTTTACCTAGTTGGTGTGTTTTCATTCTCACTGATTAAATTTAGGTAAAAATTCAGAACTTTAGCGGAAGTTTCACTCTATTGGAAAAGTTGCCATGCTCTTATGACTCATAAAAGCAAGATTTACTGAAATGAATCTTAAAATTTTGCTTACAATAAGTCATCTTTTCATTTCAGGTGTGCTTTATGTAGTTGATGAGCTGGATTATGAGACACGCCAGGACTACAGTCTTACTGTAAGAGCAACTGATAGTATCTCAGGAGTTTATGCGGAGGTGTTGGTCAGCGTTATTGTCACTGATGTTAATGACTCACCACCAGAGTTCCTATCTGATTTCTACAATGTCTCCGTTTCTGAAGCAGCACCCTTTGGATCCTTTATCCTCAAAGTCACCGCCAAAGATAGAGACACAGGTAAAAAACAGTTAAGATGTTTAAGCTTTGCAGCTGTTAAGCATGCGTAAAAAAAAAAAAAAAAAAAAAAAAAAAGTATTTTTTTAGTGTCGTCTGAAATGCTTAAAACGGTTTATTTTCTTAGAGAATTTCCAAGGTTTTTTTTTTCACTATTCAATGACATTAATGATTTATCCTTTATTTTTTTACCAGGTGATAATAAGCTAATAAGATACTCCATTCAAAAAGACAATAGTAATCCGAAAGCAGACAGTAATATAGATTATTTCCATGTCAACCCTGAAGATGGCTCCATTTTCTTGAAAAAATCACTCGATCATGAAACACATAGCTCTCATCACATCATCATCGTTGCATCTGATAACGGAACTCCTAGTTTATCAACAACAGCGCATGTGTGGCTAACAGGTACAATTTTGTTTTTCAAATGCTCTTTTCGCAGTATTTAACTCATAGCTCAGCGCTTTATCTATCACATGTTATTCTTTTTATTCTTTTTTCAAGGTTCAAACCATCAACTTTTTCTTTTTATGTAATTAGGGCTTTAGGGCATTTGCCAGGGGGGTTTTTTAACTCCTCTTGCTGAGCCAATAAAGCATTCAAATGCATGGTTTAGTTCAAACGTCACAATAACTCAAGTTTCTGCCCCTGAAAATCCTTCCTCATTATTACTTAATAATTCCTGCTGATTTCGCTATCTGTGCAGCCCAAACGAATGTAATTATGAAAATAAATTCTTTTTAACAGCAATTTTCAGCTGTTTTCAATAAGATTGAATCATGAGTGCAATATATTTTAGTCTCCAGATGTACTTCAGACTTTCAGCTCGCTAATTACTAATTCTGTGCTAATTTTAAACTGTGTATCTTGCAAACTTTTTCATTGTGATAAAGGCCCTGTTCCTCTCCCTTATGTCTCAATATGTCCAATATTTCTCATTTGAATATCTTTGTTTACAGTCGAGGATGTGAATGACAATCCTCCGAAACTGGAACCATCTGTATTTGAGTGCCGACTCTCTGAGGATGCTATTCGTGGACAATTTGTGACGGTCATCACAGCGAGCGATCCTGATTCCACGGACCATGGAAAGTTGACCTACTTAATAACAAGTGGAAATGAGCAACAAACGTTCTCGATGGATCCTACCAAAGGTACTTTCTTTACTAATAGTGAAATTCATCTCTGTTTCATTTACGGAAGAGATAATTCATGCTCCTAAAATTTGGGGCTTAGAAATATACGTGAGGTCCATCCAAATGCCAACGTATATGTCGCAGGCAAATAGTGAAATCAAGCATTTTGTCAAATGCCTAGGCCGATAGTTAAATTATGACGGTCTGCAAAAGTTTGTAAATTTATGTCGAAGAGCTCACGAGTTTTCAACATTTTTGGAAAAATATCTCATCAAACTTACGAACTCTCTTCATCTCTTTCTCTATAATTTCCTCTCATACTTTTAAATGTTGAAATTCTAAAAATTCCGTATTTTATGACACGCTGAAAAATCGAGACAAGTGTCTGTTCAGGAGTTGAAAATCGTTTAAAATACTTTTGTGTGATGCAAATTACGAAAATGCTTTTCTTACAGGAGCAATTATTTATTTTGTCTAAAATGAGGAAAAGAACTAGAATTTCAGTCTCAGTTAGAATATTTGACTATTTGCCTAGGCATTTGACAAAATGCCTGATTTTACCATTTGCCTGCGACATATATTTTTGTCTACGTATTAAAAATGGTAACTATGTCCTCTCATTGCTCAAAAATTTCTTGTGAAATGGAATCTCAGGTTGGCTTTTTCTTAAGAAAGAAAACGTACAGAGAGGTAAGAAGATAGATAAGCCACAACTTCAAATTAAGCTCATATCCTGATTCTTTTTTTCCTATGTGTACAGTCATGTGTAATAACTCAATACTTACAAACTATGTAAGAATTTTTTAAGTTCTTGTTTGCAAGGAAATCATGATTTTGAATTTTGATTTCACTATATTGCAGGTATAATTACGCTGATGAATCTTCAAAAATTGTCAGAGACTCGAATGCACTCGCTCAACATCTCTGTGAGTGATGGTGTTTACACAAGCTTTGCACGGGTCCATGTAGAAATCCTCTCCGCCAATCGCTACAGTCCTGTCTTTGATGAACCCTTATATGAAGCAAAAATAGATGAAAACATGCTTCCTGGTCAAAAAGTAACAAGAGTCAGAGCCGTAGACAAAGACAGTGGTGTGTACGGACAGGTCTCCTATTCCATTCCCTCCGACTACCTCTCAGAAATTTTCCACATCAATAATTTGACAGGTGAGCTTTTTTTTCTGTTCTATTTTCATGAAGCTCTTACATATTCCTAAAAGTGTTTGACTTTTTATTTTTTCATGGAAAATTTAGTGAGAAATAAAAGGTTGCACTAGAAAGAGTCTAGTAAAGCTTCTTTTGTTGAGAAAAAAATGATTTTGTTGATTTAAAAGTTGAAATACACGGAAAACCGTTTCTTATTTGCTGAAGACCTCTAATGTTAGGCATTAAATCAATTCAAGGCTCCAACCATCGTGTCATGCAGTTGAGGCAATAACACGGCCAACTAACATTTTATGCCAGTATACCCATCAAAATATAGTGAATGGTCCCTGTTTTTGTAATTTTCTTCTAAAAATGTTTCAATTTACTCGTGGCATAGAAAATAAATGAGAGCAAAAAAGAAGCCCAAAGGTGAGGTTTTTTTAGTTTTACATTGGTGTTTATTTTTTTTTTTACATGTATTAATTCTCCTATTTTTTTCTCTTATCAGGTGAAGTAATAACAAAACAGTCCCTAGACCGGGAGAAGACTAAAGTCTATGAGCTGCCTGTGATGGGAACGGACGGTGGAGGTCGGTCAAGTTTCACAGCCATCCGCGTTCGGGTGGGCGATAACAACGACAATCCACCTGTCTTCCACTTGCCTGAATACAAAATCTGCATACAGAGCAATCTAGCCTTAAACTCAGGTATTTTGAAAGTGAGAGCGACGGATCCTGATGAGAATTTGAATGCTCAGGTGGAGTACTCAATTTACGAGAACACTGGTAGTGGAGTCAAGGAATTGTTCAGTGTGAATCGAGTAACTGGAGGACTCACCCTTCTTAAACCCTTAGTGCCTTTTGGTAAGTTTTCTCTGACCTTGGGGGTTTTCTTAATTTTACCCCTGAGTTAGTTCTCTTAGTAGAGGTTCTCAAAGCCAAGAATTTTGACGGCAATTTTTTCTTTAAAACATCCGGACCTTTATAGAGAAAAAACTAAATCCAGAAATCTAGCATAATTAATTTAACCAACTCAAGTGTCTCAATTTTTTCACATATTCACCTTAATTTATCTTATCAAACTTTTCTAAGAAGAAAGATTACAATAGACTCTACCTGAACTCAATCTAGGCTAAACCATGACCTATCTGAAATTATTAAAAATTGTCCTGTCAAATATGAGAAAGTGGAAAATGAACTTCATTTTCAAGTGTACTGTTTTAACCTCACTATTTGGTCTGATGGGAATCTTGCTGGGGGAACCGCTGACCTTAAATGTTTGGAAGGCGGAAGGTGTTAGGGTTCAGAGTCAAGAGTCTGAGCCTTCTTTAATGATAGTAAGAGACTTTTATACGGTAAGGAAATCGAGTGAATTCATGGAAGATGCAATATTTGAAAGTTGGTTCGTCTTTTTTAAACGCGCGTTTAAGTCTCTGGATATTTGAATGCAAGCTTAATTTTTATCGAACTTAAAAGTCTTTTTTCATCGTCTCCGAATAATCAGTGTTAAAAGCCAGAGAGCCTAGTGAGCCGGGAAAAATGCCCCCCCCCCCAAATTATCCACATCACAGGAAAATAACATGGAATTCTCTTGCAAACCACTATTTTATTTTTTCCTCCTCAAACTGCTCTCACTTTGATAAAAACTTATCATTAATTCTTTTTTAAAACTTTTTTATTTTAGAAAATCAAGTTTTCCAGTTTTTTGTTCGTGCCACTGATAAAGGCACCCCAGCGCTTCATGCAGATGTACCTGTAAATGTATATGTTATGACTTCAGAGGATAAACCCCCAGTTTTCGAACGCTCTGACGATAAATTTTTTGTTTCCGAAGCAGCTGTTCCACGTAAGTGCTTTTCAAGTACTTAACATCAATTCATCAACATTCCATTCACTGTTTGTAATTCCAATTTCAAGTATTAAATCATCATTTTTAAAAGAGGACAACGTTAAAGTAAAAAATCTCATGAAAGCATGTGTTTTTTCACAGACATTCTTGTGGAATACGTCCAGAAAAAAGTAAAATCATGATTCCAGAATTGCTCCTTCAGAAAAATTTAATATCTGTGTGCATGTTAAAATCATCACGTAGATTTTTTGTATTTCCTCCCCTTTTGTAAACTTTTACACACATCAAAACCCCGGAGGCATGTGTTCCGAAGGTAGTAATTTATGAGAGAAGGATAAAAGGCGCCCAAAAGCCTCTGAAAACTGAGAAAACATCCGAAATCAATTTTTTTCCGGAGCATTGTTACATCCTAGCCCTTTTCATTTGTGATAAAATTTTTATATCCGAAATCATGGTATCTCAATATGTATTTTTTTACCCCAATTCAGAGAGTGTCATTACCAAAGTGAAGCTTGTCTCCGAGACACCGGCCAAATTCCGTCTGATCTGCAATGCAGATCTGTTTTCGATTGATGATGAAGGACAAATCCAACTGACTGGTCAGTTGGATCACGAAACAGCCTCACGTCATGTGATTGGTGTGCTAGCGTACACAGACTCCAGCCCGCCACTAACCGCGCTTTCTGAGATTCATCTTCAGGTGCTGGACGTAAACGACAACAGTCCACGATTCCACAGTGAAGAGTATCACGTTTCAGTGGCGGAAAATATTCCTAAAGGAACTCAGATTTTAAAAGGTTAGTGTTCTACAATTAACATCTATCAATAATCCCTTTGATCTTTCAGAACTTATTGCGACACACTAATCGGCGTCGGACGGTACTTTCTTAGCAGTTTATTTGAATTATTGCGGTACTGAGAACTATAATCAGCGTTGCAATAATGTTTGTGTTTGCTTATTTGTCTCTTTTGTCAGTCATTTATATTTAATTCTCTCAACTTTTGATGATCACCTATTGATAAGTTGCTAGTTCTGAGCTTTTAAAAAAGTTCATACTATCCACCCCTTTTTATTGTTAATTTTTACTGAAACTTTACGAAAAAATCATCTCTTTTAAGTTTAGTTTTCTTACAAATAAGTGAAATATTTTATTTTGTTTATGTATTCTAAGTCTAACATATCATATTGAACGTTAATGATGATTTGAGTAATCTGACAATCACCGAATTTGAAATCAGAATCATCAGTGATGCTGGATCATCAATAGAGATGCAACATTTCTTTCTTAATATTTTTGCCACTGAGTTTTTTTTCGCAACTTATCCTTAAACTTTTGTTTGCCTTGTCATGTTTTTCAATTTGAATCTGTTAAAGATAATTAAATGTGAACTCTGAACTCAAATTTCATTTTTTCGGTTGACTTTGAAGTCAGTTTTGAGATAGGTAACAGGCAGCTATTAGGTTTTTCATCAATTGAAATATCATCCCTTTTGATAGCTCCAAATTTCTTCCAGAACTTTTCTGGCTTTTTCATATGAATGCCTTCATTTTCTTTTTGCAGTGCTAGCTGACGACAAAGATGAAGGCAGTGATGGAGAGGTACAGTACACAGCAACTGGACCAACGAGTGACATTTTCACGATTGACTCGCACACGGGTTGGCTGACCTCATTGATTCCGCTTGATCGAGAGACGCAGGAATTGTATAGTCTAACGGTGATAGCAACCGATAGTGGCACCTCTCAGCGCTCCTCAACGGCCACTGTCCATGTCAAATTGATCGATTACAATGACAATCCGCCCAAGTTCTCGCAAGACTCATATTCAGCTTCAGGTATGAAATAGACTGTCTCTTCTGACAACCAAAGTTCCCAGGTTGTGTCATTAAAATCAGATATTTAACATGGGTTTAAACAGGGAATAGTGCTGATTAAATCAGCACTATCTGGCAACAACACAAACACCCAACAGCACTTCAGAACAGGTTTTCTGACGGTCTAGAAAACCTGGAAATTGAGGAGAGTCAGGGAATTCCAGGAGGAGCTATTTGTCTCAACAGCTTAATTAAAAGGAAAAAATCTAAGTGGAAGTTTTGTTCAAAGGTCAGGGAAAGTTAGACATTCAAAACTTTTGGAGTCAAGGAAGAACCGAAGAACTGAGGAAAATTCTGGGAATTGGAAAATTACAACATTATGGAAACACTACCTCAAAGGCTCTCTGAACAATTTAGACGATACAATGGAAAGACTGAATGTTTCCCTTTTCATTCAAACTGATTTTTTCTAATTTTTGTCAACAGTTATTCTTGCTGCGTTTAATTTTTTTTCCTTTCGCGTGTGAAAAACGGAACGCGAGTTGCTTTTCCATTCTCTAATGGCATCATGAATTTCTCTTTTCAGTGAACGAAAACTCTCTCCCAGGCACTGTGATCACTCAGCTTTCGGTCACTGATGCAGACAGTGGGCAGTCACCAATACAGTATTTCATCACAAGCGGTGATTCTCATGTGCAGTTTTCTATACGCAGCACTGGGGAAGTTTTTGTGGCCAGGGCGTTAGATCGAGAATTCATCGATAGTTATGAATTGACCATTCTGGCAACCGATGGAAAATTTGTCACCAGTACAAACCTAACGTTGAATATTCTGGATGCTAATGGTGAGTTAGAGATTTACTTTTAAATAATTGCTGTTAAAGATACAAGTCGATCTGGTATTCAATCATATAATTTGATGGGCCTCAAGGAGATGGATACTTTTGCCAATGTTTTTTAAGTATTTAGCTCTATTGTTTTTAAATCCTACATATTAATTGTGAAACTGTAAAAAATTACAGTTCAATGGCAGTTGCTCAAAATTTCTGCTTCTATCTAATTTTGAAAAGAATCACTGCCTCATGGTTTGAAATTATCAGGAAATATTCTCCTTCTTTCTTTCGTCACATGCACATATGTTACAAAAGATTCTTCTAAGAGTGGCACAGATTTTCAATGATCTGTTTGCTATTTCATGCTTGCTAGTGAAGGAAGAAAGCCTTTTGCATAGTGTTTAAAACAATTCTGAATAAGTCATGTTATATTTTCCAGATGAGCAACCGTATTGTTTGAAATCCCGGTACCATCAAGTCCTCGTTGAAAATATCAACCCCGATTCGTTCCTTTTGAAAGTTGACGCTGTCGATGCCGACTTAAATCCTAAACTCAAATTTTACCTAACAGGAGAGAAGTCTGAAGATTTCAGTTTGGACAAAGTTTCCGGTAAATTTTTTTTGTATATATGAATTTCAATTTTTTCCTTCAATTTTTAAGACCTCATGATTTTTGGAGCAGGATTACAACAATTAATTACTATTTTGTTAATTTTTACAAATGTGTAACCATAGCTATTAGTGGCTCATATAGATGGCTTCAAAATTGCTGAAGAAACTCTTTCACTACCACAATCAATTAATATTGCAAAATTACCGATGAAACTGTCTTTTAAACAGTAAATTTTTTATGATTGTGGTTTTTTCTGAAACAAAATCTGTCTAATGCTAAAGTGGACTTAACTTGAAAATTGGTTGAAGGCAAGCAAAACTGCCAGTCCTGCATCCATCTAACTTGTCAAGACTCCATTGTATTCACTATAATTAATTACAATATCTCTATGTATCAGATATTAACATCTAAAAATTCAAATTAAATTATAATGTGACTGTATCTCAAATTTAATAATTTCTTATAATTATCAGGTGAGTTGAAGACCGCTCGGCCCTTAGACAGAGAAACCTGGTCACACTACTCTCTCGTGGCACATGTCCAAGACAAAGATCGGCCTGAATTTGAGTGCACATCAATAATTGACATCACCTTGACGGATCTGAATGACAACGCTCCAGCTTTCACTCCAAGTAAAATTATTGCCAACATTCCAGAAGACTCAGACATTGGCACGCTTGTCACTAAAGTTCACGCCACTGATAATGATGTTGGTGAGTAGAACTTGTTTTAAATTATGTATATTTTCGCATTTTGTGCACAATTTTTCATTATTTTGTCTCTCAAGATCTCAGTTTTTACGAATGAACTAAATTTTCAAAAGTCTTAGATCAATAATTGAGAATGGCGCGCACGATCCAAAATAAATAAGACTAAAACCGTTTAAAGTAATTCTTTTTTATATTTTTTTTGTCAGCACGTTTTGCACAATACATTTCCAGACTGTTCGAAAGGAAGAGGTTAAGACCTGATAATAGCAATGAAGTTTTGCTTTCTGGACAATTTAATCTCCAGACTTTAAAATTCATGTGCTCTACAAGCTCTAACTCCTTGCTTCTTTTTCATTACCTACAATCAAAATTGATTCCTCCTTTGTCTTCTGAATCATTGGATCAATCTATTTATTTACAACATTTCTCTGTTTTATTAGGGCTGAACCGCAAAATCCGTTACACATTAATCGACTCAGCGAAAGGTTTCTTCAACATTGCACCTGAAAGTGGTCTTATTACGCTGATGAAGCGCCTTGATCGTGAAACACAAGATCTGTACAACCTAACAGTCAAAGCATCAGATCAAGGGAATCCCCCGCTCTCAAATGTAACGAACATTGAAATCGTTGTATTGGATGTGAACGACAACCCTCCAGAATTTATGCAAAGGTTTGTTTATCTGATTATCCTGGTGCTTTTTTTTCAGTCGCCCCCTCAAAATTGTGGTATGTTTCAATTTCATCATGCAATTTCTGCGCGAAATCTCTTTTGTTGATTACTCTACTTTAGAGCCATCCGATTGGTGGAGACATTTATATTTTTGACCAGTCAGAGGCCAAAATTTTTGTCTTGTGACAATGGATATGATGAAAATCAACCAATCAGTAATAATGAATGAAATATTGATGTTTAGAAAATTGATTGCTCTCCAATTAATTTATCAAAAGTGTCTTGAAGATAATTCTTTCCCATTAATTTTTGCTCTTGTACCTCGAGCTCTCATTTTTTTATTTGAAATGATTTTTATCTGTTTTCTTAACTTTGGCTCGTAATGAAGTGACCCGTCTGTTTCATTTATTGATCATTATCATAAATATTCAGTGTTCATTTTTTAACTGTTATCTCATATCTGTACTTCATTTATTTGCCAGGTCATATCAAGCCTCTGTTTCTGAAAGTGTGGGGATCGGTACAGAGGTAGCCAAGGTCACAGCTACATCTTCTGATGTTGGTATCAACGCAGAGATCATGTATTCAATCATAGGCGGCAACGAACATGGAAAATTCATGATTGATCCTGACACAGGTAATAATTTTTTGAAGAGTTTGAAAATTTAAAGTCTTCGCTTTCAAGAAACTGATGCTGTCCAGTCAACACAAAAATAGAGGATAAAATAAAAAAAAAATTGTATCCTCAATAACAATGTTATAATGGAATCAAAAGTTACATCAATAAAAAGGAGAGATATAAATTTATTTTTTATGATAGATGCAGGATTTTCCCTCTTTTCTCTTTAATTTACTCTCTGGTGTCTTCAACATTTTATACATTGAGAAATGAATTATTCCAGTTTCAATCAAGTTTTTTGACTAATATAATTGTTTGCTGAAACCTAAATCTTAATACCTAAACAAATTTCCTTCAGAGATCCAGACAATGGAGCCCTAAGCTCCCAAATCAAGATGATTTGTCATATTTCCCATTAATGACAATTTTGCAACAAATGCATAAATCAGAACATAGGAATCATAATCTCAAGGAAGTTTCCTGTTTTTCTGACATTCTTGCTCTAGTGACAGGTTTTATTTTCATGAATAGAAATCATCATCACCTCTCATAAAGTTATGATTTTGTCCGAATATTCCTTAAAACTGATGGTACAATTTGTAAATTTCATTTTAAAAAGTTAGGTAAGAGAAAATTTCTGTCTACCTATCACTTTCAGCAACAATTAAGTCAGTATTTTAGGAAACAACCGGCAACTTTTTAAAACTCCGTACTTTAATATTTTGATACCGCTCACAGTTTACTTGGTATTTTTGAGGGTAGGCTTTTTTTTTTTCAGAAACATTTTTGAAGAAAGTTTTTTTGTAAAATTATTGTTCCGTTTATAAGTCTTGTATTCTGTTTGCAGGGGTAATCAAAGTTAGCCAACTGTTGGACTATGAACGAGGTCATGAATACCTTCTGACAATCCAAGCAACGGACAAAGGAGTCCCTCCACTAAGTAACCAGGCTGCCGTGAACATCACAGTCCGAGATTTCAATGATAACCCTCCCCTATTTAGACAGATAGCCTTCATCGCCAAAATTAGAGAGGATGCCCACCCTGGTGACATCGTAACTCAGGTGAGCAATGTCACTTAGGCTATTACATAAAGAAAAACTTGGAAACTCTTCCGCAAAGACTTTGCTAATTTCAATAATATATGTTTAATGAAAATGAAGGTGATACAGTCATGCTACAAGATTCTGGTTACTCACATGGAATAGAAATATCAAAAACATAAAAGTTCGACTGAAAAGATCTGAACAAGATTGCAAAGTTTTGGGTATCCAAATCATAAATGCTCTGCCCTTGAGCATCAAACAACAACTCCGCGATGGTGAAATAAAGAAATTCTTCAATTTACTTCGAAATCTCCTCTTAACCAAGGCATTTTATGATATAAACGAATTTTTGATTTCAGCTGATGAATAGCATTCTACCAACCACCACTTAATTTATCCTTTTACAATTATAATTTATATTTTTAGAGATATTGTATACTGTAATTCATATTGTTCTTTGACTTGTGCCATAGCTCCAATAATGGGGCTTTAATGTACAAAAATAAAATAAATAAATATGTTTTGTACATTTGAATTATGATTCTCAAAATGCTCTGTAAGAAAAAATTTTGACTTTTTTTTATCTAATGACGATTCCATTTGGTTTTCAGGTTTCAGCAACAGACCTTGATAGTGGGCTTAACGGTAAAATCGCTTTTACCATCGAACGTGGTGACAGCCATCAACAGTTTGCTATTGAGCGTGACACAGGTTACATCACTGTTGCTCGGCCGTTGGATCGGGAAATGGTAAATTTTTTGCTCATCAACTTTTAAATTTTCCAGTAAAAATTCATCAGTTTTAATCAATTAATTAATAAATTTTGAATGGAACTTACATTAGTTAATTTTCTCTTTGTTAATGAATATTTTATTTTTAACTTATCAACATTAATCATAAATGAACGTCTTGTGGCAATATTGTTGATTGAAGCTACAGCTAGACAAAAAGAATCGACATTTTTAGAAAAAAAATGCTACTCTCTTTGCTTGACAAGGTATCTGCAATGCTGGAAAATTAAGGATGGAACATCCAATTGTTGAGGTGTTTCGCAAAGAAGAGCCTAATTTTCCTCATTTAGAAATTGTCTCACACGGATTTGAAGACAAATCCTGTTTAAATAATTAATTGCATAATTATCTTGCAAAGTATTCATTAAGTGCACCCTCATGTTACAAATGTTTTTTTCAAGTGCTCTCAAGGCATTCTTGAGGTATCAAGAGGTATTTAGTCTGTACTTATGCTCAACATACTTAAAATTTCTGTTTTCCAGGTTGCCAACTACAACTTACAAATCCAAGCGACGGATCTGGGTGATCCTCCTCTATCAAGTTTCGTCATGCTCAATATTGAAATACTCGATGTGAACGATAATAATCCTCTCTTCACACAAACGAACTACACTGCTGTTGTACAGGTAAATAAATTGCTAAATCCTCGTAATGACCCTATCATATTTTTATTAATTTTACTATGGATGGTAACCAAATCCGGAACTTAAAAAATTTATTAACGTAATTTTTTTCCACCCCTCCCTCTATTTTTTTAAAAAAACCAGAACTTGCAGAATTTTTAATATTATTTTTAATAGCCAGTTTAGAAATGAGTGCAAGAAAATTACTCTTATAATTCTAGTATAACTCATATACTCAATTCTAAAGAGAAGGAAGAGGGGGAGGAAAAGAAGAGAGGATAATAAAGATGGAACTTAAAAGCCTCCAAAATAAATGCTTTTTAAAGTGAAGATATGTAATTAATTTGGTGTAATTTAAGACCAAGGAAATAATTCAATTTTAATTTTTTTTTTTTTTATAATTAACTTTTAATTTTCTTTCGTGTAATTCTTTTGTCAGAATATCAGTAAAAGAAACAACAACTGCCAAAAGCATTCCTACTATGGTATTAAGTTTCGATGAGACTTCAAATGTAAAAATTATTAAAAAATTGAAACAGGTATTTTTTGCAAGTGTATAGTTATTTAATACAAAACTCATTTCATTTTCGCCACAGGAGGGCAAAAACCCAGGCTGGACCGTCTTCAAACTCTCGGTAACGGACAATGACATTAGCCCAAACACAGAACCATACACGTTCGACATCCGCGATGGCAATGTCGGTGGTGCGTTCCAAGTTGAGCCTGATGGTCGTGTGAGAACGGCTGCGCGGCTGAACCACCAGCTTCAAGAATCGTACCAACTTCTCATCCGAGTCTTTGACAACGGAACACCACCTCTTTTCTCCGACACGACTCTGACTGTTAAAGTGTTCCCTGAATCACAGTTTCCACCCGCTGTGACTCCACTTGAGATATGGGTCGGTTCTTATCAAGATCGGTGGCCTGGAGGTAAGTGTCCTTTCTGACTGGTGTTTAGCAATAAGAATTTGCCGTTCAGACAGAATGTGTGCATGGATGATTTGGTTTAATCAGATCTAAAACGTGTCTACAGTTGCCCTCCTATTTGGTCATAGCTACAGTGTTGCATTAAACAGCATTACGCTCTTGGGAGAAAATTTATGCTCGGATGAGCTTTTTCTCCCATGAATGAGACATTAGTCTTTGACTGAATTTGCATGCATATCGGCCATGTCACCAACACTCTGTATTTTAGATCAGATTTTTTCCCCAAAAAATTTCAAATACAGTCTCCCTGAAATCGGTTAGTTTTCCCAGTATTTTGCAATTTGTTAGTTTGCAATTCTTACAAATTTTAATATGGTGACCAAAAAATTCCAAGAAACTCCTAAAATTTTGAAATAAGGTACAACTATAGGTGTAGCTGTAATAAAAGTGCTTTGTCGGTTTTGGAGAAATATTCATTATCAAGCAGAGTTACAAAAATTGAAAAGTCCAGTTATAAATGCTTGCCTTCATTATAAAAAGAAGTTCATATTGGGTATCTAAATTCAATTTTGTGTCAAAAAGCAGTCCTTTTACAGTCAAAATTTCATTCTTTTAAACATAATACTTTATCATATTTCATCTTGCAGGTGAGCTGGGTAAGGTGTTTGTTTCGGACAAAGACCCGTATGACACCCTGAGTTACAACATCGTTGGCCCGTACTCTAATTACTTCTCAATTGACTCAAGAACAGGAACTCTAAGTGCTGGTCCTGGTTTAGACTCAGGGAAATATTATGTCAATGTCTCTGTCAGTGACGGCAAATTTACTACCAATTCATCAGTGTATGTTATGGTCGAACCCTTGTGGGATGAAACTCTGAACAGTGCCGTCAGCATCAGGTGAGTTATTTGTGTAATTTCATTTTTAGCCAAAGAAATTTAAATTTTGTTGAGGTCTGTTTCTTCTCTCTGAGATAAAATATATGTTGTATTTTAAGCATTATTATTCTATAGTAGGAAAGCCCCATACTTTTCCACTGAAAATTCCTGAGAAAGTGTGATACATTTTGGAGGCAGAAATAAAGATGAAGATATTTAGACAACCTCTAAAATTATAAATTGTTCTGAGCATAAAATACAGGGCATTTTAATATTCCTAGACGAAGAATTCAAAAAGAACTCATGGGCCAAAAAAAATCTTTCAAGAACTAAGTATTCCTACTGTTTACAGAATATATTTATACATATGAGTAAGAAAACACAGAAGGAAAACAAAAAATCAAATGAAGACAAGACTGTACAAATTTTATCCTCTTCTTCTATTCCTCCTTTTTCTTCTCTTGCTTCTTTTTCCTTTTTGACCAGGATTAGAGCCATGTTTGTCGAGTCTCTACTCCAAGGAGTAAGTGCTCTTCCAAGAATGAAAGCCAGCTTGGTGCCAGTTTCTTAGACTAAATTTTATGCACCGCCAAAAAACTGAAAACCAAAGCTTATCATGTCAAGACAGAAGTGAAAATGAATTCAAGCCCAATGTGTAATTTAAACTGTGACCATCTTTCACGGAAGATTAAACTCCAGGCCACAAGCCCGTTCCAGCCGATCGCCCAAGCGAGAGAGATGAAAAATTGGAGTGGAAGCCAACTAACCGGAACAGAGTTGGTCAGGATTAGCTCTAAAAGAAAGTGCTTCCTTTCTTTCCCTTCCTATTGCATATTTCGGTGTCAATAATTAGGTAATGATTCCTCATCTGGTGCTCATAGCTCATCTCTTGTTGAAAGCGAAAATAAGACAATGATTCACTGATGCGTAAAACATAAAATTATATTTTCCTTTTCCCTGTTTTTCATCTTTGATCTTGTCTGGATTCTGCATTGAGTTGAATCTTGACTGCTTCTGTGGATATTTCCCCATCCAGAGTGACTAAGTAAAATCCTTTGGTGTTACAAAGTATTCGGAAGTTTATTTTGAGCGTATCAATGTTTTGTTTTTTTGATAGTTGAATAATTAGTTCGGTCTTTTACTGTTTTCGTCTTAAACAATGTACTTTTATAAACAAAGTAGTTGATAAAAGTTAAGTGAATTCATGAATAATTGGAAATTTAGATCAATCAATCCCACAAATAATTGTGAATTTCCTTCAAAGTAAACTTTCCATGAGTGTTTTTCCAAGTGTGTGAAGTTATCATAGAGAACACATTTCTATTCACAGACTGAGCAACGTGAACCCTCATCAATTTATTCTGAACCAGAGGAAAGGATTGATGAAATCACTCCGATCTGCCTTGAAGCGTGATGTGTCCCTCATCAGTGTGCAAGAAACTCCACAAGGTCATCTGGACATACTACTCGCAGTTAAACAGGTTAGTTAAAGTTTAAGCCAGTCTCATGGATTTCAGAATTAGCCCCGAACGAATGTTGAAAGTTTCCTAGCATATTTTTCATAAAACATTTATAACTTGATTCAACTAAAGCTCATTATAGCACATGATTAAAGAAACAACATCGCCGATTAATAAATACCAGTATAGTTACCTGTCTTCGCCTCATCAGAAAAATGAGCAGTTTGCGTTTCTGCTTATGTTTAGTTAAGTTCCTGCTTACTTAATCAAGTCAAACTAGGTTGAATAAGATAGAAAACTACCCCTCTAGTTTGTAACAAGCGTATGATTTTGCCAAAACTTTTTGCATTATTATCGTAATATGTCCATTTTCTCCTATTTAAAATTGAAAGATTTCATAATCTAATGCACTGGAATTTTTTCGCAAGTTGTCATGCAATGAAAATGTCCTTAAATTGTAATTTTAAGATTTCGTCGAAACTAGGTCTTGGCTTTTGTGAACCAGGAAAGTCTGAATTGGCTCTTTACCACAGTGACAAAAAAACTTACAGTTGGAAGCTTTTTGATTTAAAATGTCCAATGTTCTGTATGTTCATTGTTGAATCATGATTCCTTTTATGCTTTTAGGATATTGATCTAGTTACCATGAATGAAGCATTAAAAGCCTCAGGCTTGACCACAGTGTCATTCCCTTGCGAGTGCGTGAACGGATCCTGTAAGCAGCACATCACACTTCACGCGGACAAAATTACTCCGATAACAACTGATATCACCAGCTTTGTTGCTCCTGCCCATTCGCACCGGCTGTACTGTGCATGTCATCTTGGGTTTACAGGTATGACTTTACCTTCTTTTTCTTTTTTTTTTGAGGAGAGAGGACTTAATCTTACTGATGACTTTTTTTTAAGAGGGAGTTGATTTATTGAGTCCACTCCACTTTTCTACAGTTTTTTTTTTTTTTTTTTTTTTTTTTTGACACAGCCTTCTTTTAGGGATTAAAATTGTTCTCAATTGCGTAGTTGTGACCAAATTTTGGACATTCCTTGAAAATTATGGAGGCAGAGAATTTTTTTCCCCTTTTTTTGGTTGATGACATTTGTCCTTCAATCAGTGAGTTGATTGGCTTGTTTGTAACCAACATTTTTAAGAGTGTGAGTTTTTTTAACTTAAAATTTCTGACTTTCACAACTTCAGTTAAAGTTGATTTTTTAATTTTTTTGTGCTAATATTTCTGTAAAGCACTTCGACAGCGTTAGTCCGCAATCACATATATTGTTTGCGGTGTCTGAAAATCTCCGCCTCTATGTTATTTTTTTAAAGGAAAACAAATGGACATCATTCCTTGAAATTTATGCCTAAGTTTCTTCGCAAAGAGAAGAAAAATCACGGCAGTTTTAAAGAATTGCCAATGAGTAGTTTTCCGCGTACAAAATAAAGAATAACAGGAAGTCTGCAATGTCGCAAACGGAATCATGTGATTGCCGTGTTACACTGTTGACTCCTCTCTGTAATACAGCTAACAACTCAATTCCTTGTTTTTCAGCCTTAAGGTCGTTTTTTTGTCCAGACTATCATGAACCACATATTGCCAAATTTCTTTATTTGGTTAAGTCGTCATTAGATTGTTGATCCAAAAATCTGAGGAATCATCTTAATTTAAATTCAGTAAAAGACCAAAAGTTAACCTTCAAAGTCTGTAGACACTGTTTACTTCCCTCTAATCTTGATCCATACTAAGTGACTATTTGTTCATTTTGGTTTAATGTGTTACAGGTGAGCGCTGCGACATGAAAATCCAAGCCATTTGCAACTGCTCAGAGAATGAGAAATGTATCCTCTCTGAAAAACTGAACAACTACAGCTGTGAGCTCACATGCGTGATCAACAACACATGCCCTCCTCCGATGTCCTCTGGCAGTTACAGCATTACTTGGGAGGAGCTGGTCGCCAGTTCAGCCATCTTCATTTCCATCATTTTCCTTGTCTGCATATTCATTTTGTACCGGTGAGTGCATCATCTGAAATTTTTAATCAGATGAAAATGTCCCTGTCAAAAGTTTTACAAAAAATTGATTTTAGAAAGAAAAAGAAAATGTGCAGAATCAGAATACTGAAAGTTTGACAATCCAAGCACTTAGTCTTTATTTGATTAAGATTTGTATGAAAATATGTCTCTTTTTTTTCTTTTTTTTGATGAAAAATCTGTGTCCAATGTCTTTGTCAGCCATTTACCTCATTTTTAAGCCTTCTGATTGACGAAGAAGCAATACTTGTTGACCAATAAGGATCAAAGACTCTGTTTCGTGATTGATTTGGAATTCATAAATAGAAAATAACACGATAAAGTATCAGCAAAGAAACCGATATTATCATTTTATGTCCCATTTTGCTTTCAACTGCTTGCTTTAATTTATTTAGGAACTGTCGAAGCAGATCTCGAGCATCAAGGGAAGATAAGAACATTCCTGTATTAAACTCGGACGTCAAACGGACCTCCAAATTGAGCAATCTTGAAGTCACTCAGGTACTTGTTTGTGTTTTATTTTTACGGGGGAAAATTGAGCTTTAACAACAGAAACTTTGCGACAAAGTTTTACAATTTTACTGGAGAATTTTCTTTGAATCTAAAATCTACAGACTTTATGATCAAATGTGATACTTCACTCCTAACAAAGAACTGTGCACAGGGTCAGATACAAGTATATGAATCATATATGATGAAATTTTAAAAGAAAATTCATTTGGTGTACTCACTCGCACTTTTTTTCTTCAATGATTATCTCTTACCGTAAATATTCCATGGAACTTACATGTAGGGATTTTTACCCTCGTTTTTTGGTACTCTGAATTATTCAATTTAGCAAATGCTGATTTGATGATAATTTAAACGCAAAATAAAGTACCCTAAGCTTCATGTCTTCTGGCCTGTCTCCAGTCATAATTTTTTTTCATAACTAATTGGCTTTTTTTAGTGCGGAGTGCGGCCAGCTTCCTACGTTGCAACTACGCACAATGATGTTCATATTCTAGCAAGGCAGCTAAACAATCTAGATACGCTGCGAAGCTACGGCTCAGCCGGCGATGAACTTGAAACTGTTCCTCCTGACTACCTCAGAAATCTGAATAATCCAACTCCTGGGAACAAAATAAATAACGGTAAGATTTTCCTCTTTTCCTCAATTTTTCTTCTCATCTAAGTCTTGAGTTCCATCTTGTGCAATGTTTGAGATTTTTAATAATAGTGCCAACTTTGCCTTTCTTACGCAGTATTTTACATGTTTAAATCTCTATTAGAACTCAGAGTTCAATTTTTGCTTCAATTTAAACATTTTCATGACCAATATCAATTTTTTGTGATTTTAACCTTCTGCATCTTTTAAGAACTGTCCTTAAATTTGGTGCTTGTTTAAAAAGTGGTATTTTTCGTTTTATTGCTCTCCTCATAGCAAGTGTGTACCATAGTTTGATATCTCCCATGAGGTATGACTATGCTGTTTGCATATCATTTTATTATGTTGTTTCATCTGCGTTAAAGTGAAAAGACCCTTAGTAATATGAGTAATATGATTAAGAGTATCATTACCATTACATTGTTTATTCGTGCATTAAAGCCTTGTTGGGTTGTGGTTCAGGTCAGCACAGGAAAAAATAAAAAAACGGGAGGTAAAAAAATTATGACAAGAAAACTGCAGATAATAAAAAAAAGTTTAACACAGGAGGCTGGCAACCGCTTTCTCATCCTTCCTTTACTTTCCTATTGTACATAAAAAAAACAAACAAATAAAAAACCATTAATTGTAAGGGTTTTTTACTCTTAAGATGTAATTTAGAAATCAATAAAAAATTACCTGAAAAATATTTTTTCTCTATTAATAGGTACTTGGCTGTTGTTTTCATCAAAAATAAACTTCTTTTAGCAGTCATAAATTCTTTTAAATCATGTCTGATGGTCGAAACTAGCTTTCTGTTTGATAAGAATTGGAAGACCCAAAAAATGTACAGTGTCGAATAATATTATCATTTTTATGCCAAATATGTTAATTTTAATTTCATCTTTGCTTTAATTTTGGAATGTTCTACTTTTGCGCTTTCTGTCAACATTCACTGTTTTTTCTAGATTTGAAGCGTGTGTCCGAACTAACAACTAACAACCGAATAGCTAGGAGATCATTAAGCTGTGTAGAGGATGAGGCTCGCATGATCGGAGGTAGTAGTATGATCTCCTTTTTGTTTTATTGAGAGTTGAGAACTGGGAAAAGATTTGCACATCGGTTTTTGATCACTATCACCGATGATATCATATTTAGTTGGCCCTGACTGTCAAATATTTTGTTTTTAAAAGAAACAGAAATTTTAGAAAAACAAGTGCTCTAAAACGTTCCTTGAGTATACAAAAGAGGGAACCTTCATATGTAATTTTAAAAATAGCTCAGTCCATTTTTAAGTTTTTAATCAATTTTAATCAGCTTTTTGTCAAAAGTTTCATGCAAATTTTTAGCTTTATCTGTCACGGTTTTTGTTCAGGTATTCTCTGTTCATTTGTGGCAATATTGTTTTCTTCTATTTAAACCATTTGAAATTAATACATTTTTTGAATATGCGTATTTTCTAATTTTCTTTTAAATATGAAACTCTTAATGTGAGAATCACACAAGCACAGTTTATGAAAAAGAACTATCACTAGTTTGAATAGTATTGTAAGGTTTCATAAAAGTGAAAAATTAGACCCCAAAAAAAGAAACAAAATCGCCGTTTAAAATATCCTAAAACTTCTCGGTCCTAAGTCTGGTCTAAAAGTGTATTTTGTTCTTAAATTTTACGTCTATCCTTGTTTCTAATCTGATTTTTAAAATCATAGGTTATCACTGGGATTGCTCTGACTGGGTGCGGAGAAGTCAAACCGCGTTACCAAACATCACCGAAGTGCCTGGGAGCGAAGTCCCCGACTCGTCGAGCTTTCACAGCAACGAAAGTAATGAATCAAATTTAGACAATACATGTATGTTATACCTCATTTTTGTTTTTAAGTTTTCGCCGGTCACGCTACAAAAAGGAAAACAAGCAATTCTCCGGCTTCATGTGCTGAATGAGATCAACTTTTGTATCACAGAAGAGAAGTCTTCTTTTTGAAAGTTGTTGGCTTAATTTTACATTATTTCCGGAATAGAAAAGTTGTTTGAGCCAACATCTTCATTTTAATGCACTGATGAATTTTTGATGTTGTAAATAGCACCGGTATTAGTAGCGTGACCATTTCTACGCCTTTCCATCCAGTAATTTTTTCCTCTTTTACGTTATTTTGGTTTCATTGCACCCCAAAACTTAAGTTTAATCTCATAGATTCATCCCTCTATCATGTATTTTTTGTTTAATTGTACCTTAAAGCTTTGCGTCACCTCATTTTCTCTCTGATTTTGCCTGATTTCAATGTTTTTGTCTGTTGCACAGTGCTAAAAAAAAAAGTTATACTGGCCACTTTTTAGTTCTTCATGCCTGCACGCTAACTTTTTTAATTGCCTGCTTCATCTTATGTATTTTACGGATACTTTGATTTTTGATAGAGTGAGTTTAGCAGAGAGGAACCAAGTCATGCTCCTAAGATGCAATCGTTATGGTAACGTTCAACCCCCATCTTCAAACTTAAAAATTTTTTGACAGGAGAATACCTATGATTAATTGAGGTCAAAAGTACTCCTAACTTATTTTTCTTTCTAAAAGTGGCTTTGTTCGTATCTGCTTAATTGAATCCAAAGTATGTAGATGAGTCTTGTAGGCAAGATAATTGCTTATTTTCTGTGGCTTAATTGCTGAGAATATTTTTCCAAAGAAATCTTTTGGTGATAAATTGAACTGTTTATTTTAATAAAAAAATTAACGAGCCTATTCTGCTTTTTGTTTCAGCCATGCCCCTGAACGAACAAAACGACCCAAGTGTCCTCAGTAAACTGAATTCTCGACAGTTCTCAGACTACCAAGATTTTGGTAAGTAGTTGAAACTAAATTTCAAAATTAGCCTCATCGTAAATATGTAAAATTTGTTTGTAAACAGCGTGTCTCAGGCTGTAAAACTGGAAAAAGTGGGAAGCAGAGGAAAAAAATATCGGTCCAAAATAGCCAAACCTTACGAAAAAATTTGAAGAATCACGTGGGCATTAGATGGAAAGATTTCCTCTCACTCGATTTTGAGATTTCTCAACCATTTAGGAAAAAGAATCGTGGGAAGTTAAAATAATTATGATGAAGAAAGCTGAGGATTGTCAACTCTAATAATAACCGTAGAATTGGTCATGGTCCTCTTTTCATGAATTTTCATAGCTTGTTGATTTGAAAGGGGATTTGATTTGTTTTGGCTAGAGAAAAAAAAGAGAATCCAGGAAATTCTCTTTCCTGGGATCTGTAGACACTGAGATAATGTAGAACTGAAAATATCAGGCGCCTGGAAAGAGAATGCTTGTCTAGAAAAAATCTTAATAAATTTCAATGATAAATTATTAGGCAAGAAGACACAAATAGATTGGGCATTCCAGTATTAAACTTAAATTAGGTATGTTATCATTTTGGTTTTTACGTTTCAAATATCTCTATTGTGTTCCTGATTAGAATCTCTAAAACTTGTCAATTTTTTAAATCTGACTTTAAAGAACAATTTAGGAAAGCAAACTAATGTCAACGTCCATGATTGTCAGTAGTAAAGGAATTTTACTACCAAAAGCTCAGAATCAAAATTTTGGTTGAATCAAAATTTTGTTACCTTAAAAATGCTCGATAATGTCAAACTAAACCAGACTCATGATAGTTTGGAAAATTTAATTCTAAGAAAATGCTGCCGGCAGTTTTAATCTGTATGCTCTAAATTGTCAAATTATAGCATTTTTACAACCTCCACAAGGATGAAAATGAACAATGAATTGTTTGCAGCTTAATTTTCAAACTTTCCTCTCAAAAATGTATTATCTCATTCTAATTTAAGACCTAATTAGAAGAAATTTCTCTCTTGGAAAACTTGTTTTGCTCACTAAAGCTCATTTCCTTGTCATCCAAAGTATGCATGACTTCACTTTGTTACGTCAGAAATAACTGTTGATGCTTTCCGCATCAAAATTACCCATTTGCATAAACTTGTTCTGTCATTTTACAGGTGATCCTGCCAGAGACTTGGCAAACCTGGATGAAGAACTTTACATGTCATACCGCAGTGAGGAGGATGACGTCATACCTTACGGTTTCCCGGTGCAAAACTATATTAGTCATAGTGACCTCTCGACCAATGTCTGTGATATCGAAGATTCTGACGTTCCGGCCTGACAAAACCCGAAACCTCTGGTCTTGGAGTGCCAGATTTAATACTTGAATTTATTGATATTTCTAAGAAATGTTGACAGAGGAACTGCATTTGAGAATTTTATGAAAAGATCTAAACAGCTAATTTCATGAAAATTTCTCTCTTTAACTGTAAGGTAAAAAAGATAACTTCGCAACGATCTACTAATGTATTGTCAGAATCTTCAAGTATCTGACTGCAATATTTTAATTAATTATGTACAACTGTGAAATCTATCTTTTAATATATTAGTGCAATTTAGAATCAAAAAGATTCGTTCAATTTGCCGAAACTATCAGAGCATGAAATGGAGCCCTACTAAATGTAGCTCTGGGTAAATATAGCCCTGCCTGACGGAATAAAAAAGCCTTGCAAATAAAATTGCATCTCTTTTTTATGCAGGTAATTTTTTTAACCTTGCAATTCTGATCTTTTTATACTTTGCCTCATTCGCAACTATTTGGAAAAATCAGAAATTCTTGTATTTGGCGTCCAACTCTAGGCTGGTCTTTCGCTAAAAGTGCCGATCACCATGATCTCATAAGTAATTCTTCACAAGTAGGGATAGTTGAAGCGTTAAATGTAAGAACATCAAATTTTTTATTTCGAAGACTCTGTTTTCAGGTTGTTTTTACATGTATGGCTTCAATTACCTTAAATATGTATCTATATGAGCGTCAGTAATTTCAATTTTTTCTGTCTTAGATTTAGATTAAGTATTATAAATTTCGATTTCCTTTTTTCTAATCGATCATTCTCATGTCTAGACCAATTCTTTGACAAAATTCCAGGAGGTCTGATTTTAGGTAGAGTCAAAAAATTATGACAAGCAACTTCAAAAACTATATTTTTTGTATTGTTGTCATTCATCTCCTTCCGTTTTATTTGACTTACGTAATTTTACTTTAGTAAGTTTGAATGGAATTACATTTAGGCCTATTCTTGCAAAAAATTAATTTTATTGTTTTCTTGTAAATGTTCTGACTAAGTTCCTTCTGAAGTGATTGAACCGCTCAGTTGTTTGATCGGGCGGTTTCTCTCTGTATTATCACAATGATTTTGAGTTGCTAATTGTAAACTATCTGGTCAATTTAAAGAATGAGTGGTGCAGATATAATTTCAGAAAAATTATTCAAATTTTCAACTTGCTCAGAAACAGCAAGACATTTCATCATGTTGAGATGAATGAATGTACCTATAACTAGATGCTATTTTTATTTTTAATCACTTGGAAACCCTTCTTTGTCTGTGTAGATAGTAGCGTTTAACTATTGTGCAAGACATGATCAACCCGAGTGACAAATATCGTAGCAATGTAATCTAAGCTGTCATGTGTAACAACCAAATAATTGTCCTTCAATTTGTTTTCCTTGCAAATTTTTTCTTCTCAGAGACGTTATGTTACTCTTTTGTAAATAAATTTTGGGCTCGTAATTAATTTTTTACAAAAGTTCAAAGAGGGCTGATTGTTTAAGAATCTAAAAAGTATAGAACACTTGCGAAAGTAATTGGTATTTTCTAATTTGTAGAACTAAGTATGAAAATCAAACTTGACAAAGATTTTACATAATTTTAAGCAAATTAGAATGTTGAAAGTTTTTCAGTAACTCTGCATCACTGGAATGGAGTTGTTTTAATTTAGCTGTTTGGAAAACAGATCAGATTTAATCCTTGTATTATTAATTATACAGTTTCTATAAAATACTCTTACTGAATGGAAGGGTGACAAGTTTTTAAGTAGTTCAGAAATCTCCCTGTCAAACTTCATGTTTCCCTGCTATCAGAGAATTTTGTGTTCGTTTATTTCCAACAACATGAAGAATTTTTAGAGGTACTTGTCATGCATTACTTTATTAGTAAATGAAGATTTTTGAAATTTTATGCATGAAAGCTTGAAAAATTTAGAAATTTCAAAATTAGAAACTTAGGATGAAAATACTCAGTTTGCATGTAAAAAAATTGTCACCCTGAGTTAGGTCTTGAAAACTATCAATCCCTTAAAAACACTGTCTCGTAAAAAAAAATTGTATATCTTAAAAAATAGCAAAGCATTACGACTATTGTCTATTTAAACAGCTCTTTTCTCAATACTTACGTGTTATGTTAGAAGAGACAGTCTCAATAAGAAAAGAATTGATATGTGTCTAATCTGGAATAGCTGAAGTTTTAATTTTTTCTAAGTAGTAGGTACCTGAAATGATAAGTCTCAAAAATCTTATTTTTTTAAACCCGACCAAATTGCCTTATAAAAATTCAAACAAATTCTATTTTTTCTTCTTGTTGTAGTTTCGTCTATTTTACCTTTTTCTCTAATTAATTTTCATGCCCTCTGTGATTATGATTTGATTGTAGATTGTGCAAATTTTTATTGAAGAAATCATCGCTCTTATCTTGAGACTGAAGGGTTGTTTCTGTACTTTAGCAAAACTATTGATTTTTATGGACTCTGTATCACCGTTTTATGAGTACATATTAGACAAAGCTTATAAAGATTTCCAAGGCAGTACCCTTCTTTGCTGTCAGAAATGTACCCTTTACCTCAAAGACATATTCCCTGTAGTTTAACGTAATTTACTTTTGAAAGCCTTTCACTGTCATTCCACTAGAGCTCTTATTTGTTGAGTCTTTGTTCATCTATTTTTTTACCATTTGTAAACGATGTGTAAATGCCAAGGAAAGTAGAATTTAGGAGAATATTTGTGGTACGTTTTAAAAGACTGATCTTCTCAATTCTTGTAAATAACTGGACAGCCATAATTATTGCCATTATTTTTTTATGTGTACCTAACCGAATTGTAATTTGTAAATACGCTTTTTTGTACTAAATTCAAAAGTAATTAGTCTATAGTTTAATTTATCTCAAACTTCAAGTAAAATTGAGACAGTGTTCTAACTTATTTTTCTCTTGTTCAAAAGAGAAGTATCAACTAAAATCTGCCCGCACATCGTAAGTTTTTCTGAAGTATCTCAGTTCTGGAATTCTTTTCTGAAGTGATTTCTCAACCTCCTTCCAGTTTTTACATTTCCATTTGTAATTATGAAAACTTTAATACAATCTCATCTCTCCAAAATCCCTGTAATAGTCTCTAAGTTTTAAGCATCAATCAACTAATCTAAATTAAAAATTTGTCTTCTGTTATATTTGGTAATCAGTCATTCACACTAATTTCTTGCAAAAGACTTATTCCCTTTTCATTATTTTCAAGAGCAATATCCTGTTCTTTTTACCTATCGAAAAGAAAATTTATAAATTGAATTTTTTATTGAAGATTTTCCTGTTCCTCCGTTGACTGCCTCAATTTCTTGTGTTGGGTGTCACTATTTTTCTCAGATGATGAGTTGTAAAATTTACTGTTTAATTTTTTGTCCTGTAAAAATATTTTGTAGGAAATCGTGTACGTATTGTATTATAATATTTTCTCCTTTCTTTTTGACTAAAGAAATCCAATTATTAATTTGGCATTTTTCTTTCAACTTTTCAACCACCTTTTGAATCATCATTAAATATAAAGTATAATGCCTGCTCAGTATACACATACTAATAAAAATTCCGTGACAGAAGTTCGAGTCTAGATGCTTTGCCATAAATTATATTTTAATAAATGGTCACTTTACTAATTGAGTAATTTACTGGAATTTATGTGGGCAATAAACTGGGATTTTTTTCATTAACAAGATTCGATCAAAAATTAAAAACCAACATAGAGTGGTTCACAAAATGGATTCTGTTAAATTTTTGAAGGAGTACGAGGCAACTCTACAATACATCTATTCGAAATATAAATATTTTCCTCTTATGCCATCTCTATCTGACTTGAATGCATGAAAATACAAATCTATCATGCATACATGCAAATTACCATTTAAATTTTAGAAGTATCTAAAGCAAGAAAAGAAAAGACGACAAGTTTCCAAATGATAGGTAAAGATATACGGAATGGAACGTGTTTAGCAGATACAATCAAAGCCACATTAGTTATTGCCAACTACATATATAACTAGGCGATTTATTTTTATATGAAAACGGTTGTCATATTTTGATACGAATTTCAGTGAATTTTCTGCATAGTACAAAGCAAATTCATCAAAATTTTCAAAGAAATTCGCACAAACTTTCTCTTGTAAAAAATTAAATTGCTTCAGAACAGGCTATAAGTGATGAAGTCCTTCCTTGCATAACAATTTCGAACATCAGGCCTTCCAGCAAAGAAACGCTGTAACCGTTTGATCGGACTGAGAGCCAGTGAACCGAGAAACGGTCAAAAACGAGTGTTTTTGACCCTGGTGCAAAAGTGCGTTTTTCGTCGGTAGCGCGGTCCAGCGGACTCGCGGAGCTTTTTCGACCGGAAAATCGGACTCAGCGCATCATCTCCAAGCGGACTAGCTTGGTTTCGGCTCGATCGGAGAAATTTCGCTTTTGACCCTAAAAATTTAGTCCATGTAACCCCTGTCCATTTTTCTCGATTTTGGACGGGGAAAAAAATTCGAGATTATAGTCGAATCCCATGTAGTCGAAGGCGCTGAATCGATTGCGCATGGTCCCGAGACGCGGCGAGGCCTCCTGAGCCGAGAAACGGTCAAAAACGAGTGTTTTTGATCCTGGTGGAAAAGTGCGTTTTTCGTCGGTAGCGCGGTCCAGCGGACTCGCGGAGCTTTTCCGACCGGAAAATCGGACTCAGCGCATCATCTCCAAGCGGACTAGCTTGGTTTCAGCTCGATCGGAGAAATTTCGATTTTGACCCTAAAAATTTAGTCCATATAAGCCCTGTCCATTTTTCTCGATTTTGGACGGGGAAAAAAAATTCGAGATTATAGTCGAATCCCATGTAGTCGAAGGCGCTGAATCGATTGCGCATGGTCCCGAGACGCGGCGAGGCCTCCTGAGCCGAGAAACGGTCGAAAACCAGTCAAAAACGAGTGTTTTTGACCCTGGTGGAAAAGTGCGTTTTTCGTCGGTAGCGCGGTCCAGCGGACTCGCGGAGCTTTTCCGACCGGAAAATCGGACTCAGCGCATCATTATCAAGCGGACTAGCTTGGTTTCGGCTCGATCGGAGAAATTTCGATTTTGACCCTAAAAATTTAGTCCATATACTGTCCATTTTTCTCGATTTTGGACGGGGAAAAAAAATTCGAGATTATAGTCGAATCCCATGAAGTCGAAGGCGCTGAATCGATTGCGCATGGTCTCGAGACGCGGCGAGGCCTCCTGAGCCGAGAAACGGTCGAAAACCAGTCAAAAACGAGTGTTTTTGACCCTGGTGGAAAAGTGCGTTTTTCGTCGGTAGCGCGGTCCAGCGGACTCGCGAAGCTTTTCCGACCGGAAAATCGGACTCAGCGCATCATTTCCAAGCGGACTAGCTTGGTTTCGGCTCGATCGGAGAAATTTCGCTTTTGACCCTAAAAATTTAGTCCATGTAACCCCTGTCCATTTTCCTCGATTTTGGACGGGGAAAAAAATTCGAGATTATAGTCGAATCCCATTAAGTCGAAGGCGCTGAATCGATTGCGCATGGTCCCGAGACGCGGCGAGGCCTCCTGAGCCGAGAAACGGTCGAAAACCAGTCAAAAACGAGTGTTTTTGACCCTGGTGCAAAAGTGCGTTTTTCGTCGGTAGCGCGGACCAGCGGACGCCCGGAAATGATACGCGGAGTGCGTTTTTTTGGTCTAAAACACTCCATGAGCTAATTGGACTGCATTTTGCAATTTGGAACTTGAAATTCTAGCCCTGTTTATAAGCAACGTATGTGCCATTAGTTTCTCTATGCACATACGTGTTTTTTCAGATGAGCCAGAATTTATAGCTCCAAATCGCAAAATGCAGTCCAATTGAAGCTTACAATCAGCGGAAATTGGGATGCAATCGACACTGTCAAAAACCGTCGAAAATACTCGTTTCTTTACTGAGGAAGCTCCGGCGAATCTCGGGAGCAGGCGTATTTGACTCCACACCTACCTATCATACTATTTTTCCACCTATTTTTTAACTCAACAATTCGCCTTCTGCTGCGCCTGCAGCAATTGTTGTTACGGATATGTCGTGCGTGCTAATTTCAGCCGATTACATACTCGACTCTTCGAAGGCGTTTTATGTGCGCAAGTGGCGCATTCTGTCGGAGAACGAACGAAGTAGGGATTTTTCTATTCATTCAATCTCTCTTCTGTGGTTCTCCAACAGGGTGCTCTACTCTCGCACATCGAACGCCTTCAGAGGGTCGAGTATGTAATGAGCAGAGATTAGCTCGCACAACATATTCGTAACAACAATTGCTGCGGACGCATTTGAAGGCGTATTGAAAACAACCGTATCATTCAAGTTGAAAAACATTTCAATTCTTTAATTAATATTGTTACGAATACAGAGTTGTATTTTATGGTCTTAAAAGGTGATTTTTAAAAAAAAATTTCAACTTAAACTAAAACATAATGTAAGTTTAAATGCAAAATTAAATACCGATACGGCGCTACAGTCTACATATGTTCAGTCTTTGCAGAATTTTACTCGGGACTCAATCAACTTTGCAGTCCACTTGTAAACGAAAACCGGGAGCTACAAAATGTAGTATACATTACAGAGGAAAGCCTTTTTGGTTGTATTGGTGGGGAAGGGGGGTATTGATGGGATGTTTTCGTGGTTCGCTTGGATATTAATTAAAAATTGAAAGTAATGCAAATATGAATTACATAAGTAAGCTGCCTTAGAAAAGTTACCATGCAGTTCAGGTGATCATCTTTTCAATCGGAGTTGATCTTAGGCCCTGATTTTCATAAACACGTTGAAGACTTGCAGATATAAGTGAAGTAGTGTAAAGTATTACCAATAGTTCCTCTGAATCATTAAAAATCCACGTCATGATACGACAAGTAGAGGAAAGTTCCGATTTCATAAAGGGAATTGACCTCTGGGCACTAGGAACGCTTCACGTACTTACCATAGATTCGGGCTCTGCAAGATAATTTGGGTACATTTTTGTCGCATTTTTCTTTTGCTTCAAGAGCATCGTGGTGATGGCGCTTCTTCAAATTTCGCGGAAAGTTTAGGCTATACTTCCCGCCAAGGCTGCTTTGTTGCGCCGTATATTTTATTTTGCATTTAAACTTATTTCATGTTTTAGTTTACATTGAAAAGTTTTTAGAAAATCCCTCTTAAAAAGGCCATAAAATGTAACTTTCTATTCGTAACAATTTTAGTTAAAGAGCTAAAATGTTTTTCAACTCGTATTATACGGTTGTTTTCAATTCGCCTTCAACTGCATCCGCAGCAATTGTTGTTACGAAAATGTTGTGCGTGCTGAACTCTGATCATTACATACTTGACTCTCTGAAGGAGTTTAATGCGCGAAAGTGGAGCACTCTTCCGGAGAAGAACAGAAGTGAGATTGAATGAATAGAATCCCTACCTTGTTCGTTCTCCGAAAGGTTGCGCTACTTCCGCATATAAAACGCCTTCAGAGAGTCGAGTATGTAATGATTTGAAATCAGTGCGCACAACATATTCGTAACAACAATTGCTGCAGACGCAACAGAAGGCGAATTGTTATGTTAAAAAAAAAGAAGAAAAAAGAGTATGATAGGTAGTCTGCATGTAAAGAGAGGGTGTGTATTCGATCGACATGAATCGAACGGAAAACAAAAACGTGAACGGATCGTGAACCGATTCAATGGACAAGTAAATAAAAAAGCCAATCAAAATCAGTGTAAAACTTGCATTACCATAAAAATTTCAATTTGCGATACCCCGAAATCAGGATCAGACAGGATTTTGACTTTTCGTGGTTTTGAGTCCTCACGTACCATACACTCACCCCCTGCAAACCGTTTTTGGGTACACTTTTGTTTGTAATTAAAATAAAATCAGTCAATTTTTAACCATCCAAAACATTTCTAGGAGTCTTTCGGACGATTAATGATAATTTGACAAAGAAATGAGGTTTCTTCCTATAAAATTCTCCGGATACTTCTGAGACCGTTTTCTCAAAACTTCATTTTTGCACTTACTGCTCTCTTCGCTATTCACGGCATAATTGCACAATCTTAGCAGTATTGCAAGCCTCCCACGCCCTATTACCGAAAAAGTCCTCAATTATTAATCATGAACCTTCAACCGGTGAAAAACTTGCAAAAATCGCCCTAGATAACACTGAAAAAAAAAAAAATCTCGGTGTATTCACTAAGATAAGGGTAAAATTACCAAGAATTCAGGATTCTATTTGATCCCAGTTTTTTCTTATTAAAATTACCGTTCATGGAATTGGTAATTTTACCGAGAAATCTCGGTAAAATTATTGAACTTTCTCGCTACTTTTACTGGACCTTGGTAAAAATGCCAATATTTTTTATCGACTGTGGTAGAATTACCGAGATAAAATTGCAAAGTTACCGGGAATTGATTACCAATAAAAAAGGTATTCTTACCTGAAAAAAAACAGTAAAAATACCGGTTTTTAGGTAAGCTTAC